AATCAGACGAGTAGAAGTCGTAGAAGAAGTCGTACAAGAAGAAGTTCGTAGTAGAAGTCCTACAGTCAGATAATTTGAATAAAATCGATATCCAAAAGCTGGAAGTAGAATAATGACGTTCTATGATCAGGATAAAAGAAAAGAATTTTACATATGGTTCAACAATTTGGAACAAGATCGTTCCATGACAAGTAGAATAAACCCGTTCCATGATCAGACAAGTAGAATAAACCCGAACCATGATCAGACAAGTAGAATAAACCCGATCCATGGTCGGACAAGTAGAATAATCCCATCCCATGGTCAGACAAGTGGAATAAGCCCGTTCCATAATCGTTCCATGACGTACACGATCAGACAATTGAAAGAAAAATGTTCCACGAGCAAACCAGTAGTACGAGACGTCCCGCGGGCAGACAAGCGGAATAAAATTGACAGACGTGATCATCGCGCGAATTAAACAAATTTCTCGCCGAGGAAGCACGAGAAACAGGATACTTTCTGTTAACCCAGATTACACATCCACCAGTTTTTCGATTAAATTCATAAAATCCGCAGTCTAGTCATGATCGTGGGGTAACAGATGCGATATTGTCAGTCTGGGAAACAAAGCGAAATCTCGTGTTACCAGTCGAGGAAAATTCTCGAGCGCGAAAATTCTGGTTTATTAGTAACGTGGATTTACGGGATCCGGTGTCGGTGTCTTCGCGGACGGCTGTGTCGAAACCGTGTTATCGAGTAATTTTGTGAAAATCGTGGCACGTACACAACGCACAGGCGAGCGTTCGCTCGACAACGCCGATAGCGTGATATATGACCCGGTAACGGTCGGGTCGCCCGGTTTCGAAAAATATGGGCGAGAACGCGTCGAAAATACCGGCTCCGAATTTTAGAAAGGGCTGGTTCCCTCGGCTAATCCAAGTTTTAAAATTCTTTCGCCTACGGTAGGACGGGTGCTCCCTTTTGCTACAAATTCCCGCGGTACTCCGAAGCTCCTCGAGGTTTCGGGAACTTCAAAGTCGGATTTCGGCATCGTTAGATATTCTAGAAATTTTTGAACAAGCTACAGTCAGTCCCAAAATGATTGGCGCAAGATATGTTATGAAAGAAAGTGTCGATCGAACGGTTTGCAAAAAAGTTTACAATATATATAGTTTACATTCTAAATTAAGTAAACGGTACAAAAATATGCTAATATTGAAACACCCCCACAAACCCCTAATCTCGCCCGGATTCGGGTAATTTGAAATCAACTGGAATCGCAAATACGAAAACGCTGTATAAATAATAAAAAAAGCTTTGTAAGCTGATATAATCTCGGGGAATGTAATTCTATAAATACAAATTAAATTATAACAAATGGATTGCATCGATGTCGAAAATACTGGCGGAAGTAATATTAAATAAAATGGTTTGCCTACAAAACATTAAAAATCGCTTTTCAATAATCATTAAATTAATTTAGAGATTGTGCCAATAATTTTTTGAGCTCCGAAAAGCGCACCTTTCGGTATTAGTTATTATCCTAATTTGTTAAGAATAGACGTTAGTATGAATCTGTATTGTTTGCTTAATTTGAAGTAAAAATATCTAAAAAATTATTGCCAACACCTGAATCGACGCTTTCTTTTATGAATAAACCACCGTGCCAACAATTCTGGGAGTCGCTGCAAACGAAATTTCGGCCGTTCATGGCAGCTCTATGCTAGTATATCGCATCCTTGTGAAATGCACGAATCAAAACCGTAATTCTTATAATATACCTACCCTGATCATGGTGTAAGCCCGACTTTCCTCGTGCACCGACCGCTTCAGCTTCTCCATGTTCGCGAACGTCTTGGCCCATCGCAATCTTTCGTCCTGCGGGTGACACAAGTATCATCATAATAACCGTCGGCAAACAGTGATTCGGCAAACATACGCATCGCATGCGTGCGTGCAACTGTTCCTCTACTTCGTTCCTCGCAGAGAGAGTTCGCGTGCGTTCACGTCCGCGTCTTTACGAACAATGCAGGCACACCGGGAGAGTTGGGCAAATTCTCTAGCCAATCACATGTCTCGTAGAACAACACATCGCTTTTCTTAATCTGTTCAACTGGAAGATACCGTTTCACTTATAAGTCCTTCGTACAAGACATTCTTTCATCTACAATTTCTTTAAGAGATCAATCTTTCAGAATTTCGATCAGAGATCTTCCTTTTAGAATTTCTATTAAACATTTAACTTTTACCATTTCTTTCAGAGATTTATTTTCCAGAATTTCATTCGCGGATTCAGAATGTATTTCTTTTAACCCTTTTCGCTCGAAACCATTTTAACAGTCAATCTAAAATAATTTTTCCGGCTTATAGTATTTCCATTTCATACGACAAAGTGCATTTTGTGCACACGAAATTGCATCTCGTGATTCATGCATAATATATATAAAGTTATACTTTTAATAATATTTAAAATCTGAACTTCGATAATATAAAAGTGATCTTAGAACGTGATGCAACAATTTCACTGGTGCCTCGGAGTCACCACTCGAGTGCAAAGGGTTAAAATGTTTTTTTAGAATCGATTACAAAGATCCATCTTTCAGAATCTTTTTCATAGTCTGAGCTTTCAGAAGTGATTTCAGAAATCTATCTCGCAGAATTTCATTGAAAAATTGAGCTGCTAAAACTGTTTTCAGAGATCTATCTTCTGGAGTTTCATTTCAAGGTTGAACTTCGAAAATTTCTATCAGAAATATAGCTTCCAGAATTTCATTTAAAAATTGGGCCATTAGAACTTTTTCAAAGACGTGTTTTCTACAATTTTATTTAAAGATTGAGCGTCTAGAATTCTTTTCAGACTTCGATCCTTCGGAACTGAATTCAAACATCGAGCTTCTGGAATTTCTTCGAGAAATCTATCTTCTAGAGTTTCATTTCAAGGTTGAACTTCGAAAATTTCTATCAGAAATATAGCTTCCAGAATTTCATTTAAAAATTGGGCCACTAGAACTTTTTCAAAGACGTGTTTTCTAGAATTTTATGTAAAGATTGAGCGTCTAGAATTCTTTTCAGACTTCGATCCTTCGGAATTGAATTCAAACATCGAGCTTCTGGAATTTCTTCGGGAAATCTATCTTCTAGAGTTTCATTTCAAGATTGAACTTCGAAAATTTCTATCAAAAATATAGCTTCCAGAATATCATTTAAAAATTGGGCCATTAGAACTTTTTCAAAGACGTGTTTTCTACAATTTTATGTAAAGATTGAGCGTCTAGAATTCTTTTCAGACTTCGATCCTTCGGAATTGAATTCAAACATCGAGCTTCTAGAATTTCTTCGGGAAATCTATCTTTCAGAATTTCATTTAACAAACTGCGTTTCTAGAATTTCTTTCTGGAAATCGACCTTTCTGTAACTTCTTTTAGAGTACTGCCGTTTGAGAACTGCATCTCAGCAGTTTGTATTCAAATAAATTCCTTAATTGTAATTCGATTCCAAAGGTCCAGACGAGAATTTTACCTTGGATAACAATTAAAGGAAGTTAACGGGACAAACTTCTGTTGGACGACATACTTTTATCCCGGATCCGGCTAAACGAAGACGAAACTTTTCTTGTTCGTTCGGTTAAGAAGACAATTTTTCAATTTGACGGCTTCGAATAAGAACTGTTGCAGTTGAAAGTAAATTAAGGAAGCATCTTTCCTTGGGGAACATGCAGATCAAAGTTTCCTTAATAAGACAATATTTCAATTGCAGACTCTCTGGATGAAATTTATCTAATTGGAAGAGTCTCTGGAGGAAATTTATTCAATTGCAGACTCGCCGGAAAAAAAATTTATCTAATTGCAGACTCCGTGGAAGAAATTCATCTGGCGTCACTGTTGTTGAATAAATGAAAGAACCACCTTACTTTTATCTTCCACTCGAGACAGATTAAGGCTACCATCGCTATTCAAACGTGAAGACAATTTTTCATTCAGAAGGACATTTAATCGCATCCTTTTTTTTACTCGGCTTACATTATAAAAACGAAGGAAATTTCAAAAATCCTCGGAACTCTCATTCTTAACGGAGAACCTAAAAGCTCATGCTTTCGTCGAACAAAAATCCTCTAATAAAAATGCAAAAACTCGATCTCCACGTTTCCGAATAGGAGATGCGGAATGATTGATCGATCGCGATCAATGCACAGTGGAGCATCCGACTTCGAAAACTGACGAGAAGTCGATTTGAATAATCTAATGGAAAAATCTTAAAGTTTTTCCTCTCCGAGGTATATTGAAAACAATATTCCAACACTTTTTCCTTTCTTTCATTCTTTCATAAAGCGGTATACTTCATTAAAAGTTGAAGAGTTTCCGCGATAGCGTTTCTTTCTCAGTTTCTGAATTACTATTCATTAATTAATGATTTGTATGTACTTTATTCTACGTTAAATATTATGTTTGACATTACACCTATGTTCTTGTAATTAACGATGCTAAAAGGTTACCATTTATTCGGTGATTTTAAACAGTTCAAACAGAATTTTGTTATAGTTCCAAGATAAGTACATTAGATTTTAAACAATTAATATAGAATTTTGTTATACTTCCAAGTTAAATGGCTTTTAAACAATTAATATAGAATTTTGTCATACTTCCAAGTTAAGTACATTAGATTTTAAAGAATTAATATAAGATTTGGTTATACTTCCAAGAGTGAAGTACATTAAAATTTAAACAATTCAAATAGAATTTTCTTGTACTTCAAAGTTAAGTACATTAGATTTTGAATAATGCAAGTGAAAACGGATTACATTTTAATATAATGTTTTAATAACATTAGATAATTTTGTTATGCTTCCAAGTGAATCCTAATGCTTGTTTCGATGTAATTAAAATTTACACGGTACGAAAAGAATCAGCTGCCAATTTAGAGCAACATGAGAAAAATAGAGACACGGCAGTCGACTCAGAAATGGATGAGTTCGATAAGGAATAAAACCGACTCATTTAAATCCATAATTGCAAAAGAAAATTTGCATTGAAGTGAAATAATATAAATAAACTATATTTAACTATATTTAACTATATTTATCTATATTGAACTATATTTAACTATATTGAACTATATTTAACTATTTTCAACTATATTTAACTATGTTTAACTATGTTTGAACAGTGCTATATTTACAATCATTTCTAAATTTATTTGCAAATTTTTCATCCTGTGCATTTTTCGCGAAATTGCAATAAATAATACATCTATTTTTCACTCTATAACTACAGTCGATAGTAACGATCAAGTTTGAACTGAAACGACACCGAATTGATTCTTTCAACATCATTATTTTTCAATGATTCTACGAAAGCATATTTCTTAAATGTAACTTACTGACGGATACTCATAAAACCTTGAATTTTCATATTTCGAGTTTCAGCCAGGTTTTCGGGGCTCCGACCCCACTGTGCACCATCGAAACAACACCGTGAAACAAGCCGATCGTCGCGCGTCCCCGTTGCCGCGCATTCTCTCGAATGTCACGTGACTCTATCGATGGCGACACGGACGAGCAATTCGATGGAGTAGGGGAAGAGGGCAGCGCAGTCGATCGACGCGGCGCGACCAGTGTTCACGGAGAAACAAGTTACGCAAGGAGTGGGGGAGATTTTTTTAATTTTGCTATCACACGTGGAATGACAAAAGAAATAACAAAAACTCTCGCTTTTTAATTTTTCAATCCGAGTTTGTAACGAAAATGTAAAAAATGCTTTTCATAGATCTCGGTAATCAAGCCATCGGTGTCGAAAGACTTAAGAAAACTACAGATTTTTTACGATTTTTCGTCGAAAGTGTGAAAAATCCTGACAAAGCTCTGATTTTTGTAACAAATTGTAACAAATAACAACGTCGACCGATCTCGATAATATTTTTATTAAATCTTTGTATTACAAACTTTTTATTACATGTAATTTGCCGAGATCTACGAAAGGCAGTTTTAAATTTTCTCGTTGCGGGCTCAGACGAAAGAGTTAAAAAACGAGTTTCTTTCGTCATTCCAGGTATCAGCAAAATTAGGAAAAAAAAGCATTTCAGTCACCGTCTAGTATAAGCCGGTTCTCTTATTTAAAAAATGTTCAAGTTATTTGGTTCAGTTTTTGAACCAAGTTATCGCGTGTTCAAAGGTTTGGGAACACTTTTTTTCTGGGCACTGTACGCCGCTATAATTCCAACCCCATTCATTTGAGGGAATACAGAGCAACGGCGGTGACAACGGCCGTATCGTCGCCTACATGTCGTTTCTACAGAGTTATTCGGCGCCGGTATTTTTCACGGGTGGGCGGGGAGGGGGAGGCAACCGTTGTTCCCCATCGATGCCGCTCGCAACGGAATCGCGGAATCGAAGGAAAGCCTCTGCATGCAGCCGTAGGAACGCGTTGAAAGGGGGAGGGGGCGAGGGGGAAGCGTGTAACGATTCGGCAAACAAGGCTGGAGGTTGGCGAGAGTATCGCGTCGCGTTGCTCGCGCGCTCGCACACGCGGCCGCCGACGCAGAAGCGTCTGTCTGTCTATGTACAGGTGCGCGCACAGGTCGCTCTTATCGCCGCGTATATTTACACGCATCCGCGCTTCCCCGATGGCGTATATGTACAGGAAAAAAGCGCGCTTACGCGCGAGCCTCTTAAAATGCAACGGATTTCGCATTGCAGGCTAACGCGTCGACGTCGTAACGACGCGACGCGACGCGACGTCGCTCCGCGCGTCGAATCGCCGGCCAGAAATTTGTTACAGGTTCCTGTTCCATTTTCGCGGGGCTGTTTTGATTAACCGCGACGACGATGCACCGCCCGAACGTCCGCAGTATTATTTATCCAGCCATTTGCCTCGGCGACGACG